GTTTTCTAGGGAGAAAAAAACAACACAAAGAGAGGTGACCAGAGATTCTGTGCTCTGCAGAGATGGCTCCGTGTGCCACACTTCGCGTGAACGGCTTTCGGCTCTTTTCGAGCACACCTAATTTATAAGAGGTGGCAGCCTGAGAGTTTGGGTGGACAACACAGATGGGTCCGCACCGAACGTGCGCACAAGGAGCGGTGGACGCCTTTTTTTACCTAAGAAAAATGCGGGATGAAGTCCTTGGCGAATCTTCCCGCTATTTCCCTGCACACCCCACACCCCAGTCTCCTTTTCTTTTACGAATTCTCCCTATTTTGCAGCTCTCTCTCCACCCCCCCTTTCTACCCCCCCCCCCCCCCCCCCCCCCCCCGCAGAACGCTGTGGGAGGGAGAGAGTTAAGATGTCCTGCGAACCCCGCTCGTAAAGCTGCTCACTTCCATTAGAAACACATGAATATCCTGAAATACAGAGTGTCTTTTGAAACGGGCTCAGGAATGTTTATCTCCATCCGTGATGCTTTAGAAATCGTGGAAGAAAACAGCGGTGACAGCTCTCCTCCAAATTGCCCTTCTGGCAGGTAAACTTCAGTCGCTCATGAAAATCAGATTCGATTAAGGATCTCTCCTGCCATCACTTGACTCCGGTGTCTCCCAGGGCTTCTGGGCTCCGTATTTGTATTAGTAACTAAGATCACGCTCTATCTCCTCAATCATCAGCTCAACTCTTTCAGCAGGTTTGCAGAGATTTAGCTCCGGGTTAAACACGTATTTTCAAGCATCAGCCCCGATTAATTTTTTTTCCCCACTGCTCATTAATTAGCTAGAAACAATGGGACGCAAAGTAAGAGTGAATTTCCTCTGACTACAGCTTTTCTTCCGTCTGCGTCCGACTTTGATTAACCCCCAAGTAGTTCGGCTCCCCTCGGCGGGGCACTCCGAGTGCTGTCACACAAAGGGACGGGACTTAAAAAGCCTCGCAGGTAATCCGTGCCGACAAATCCGGGTTTGTTTTTTGTTTTGTTTTGTTGGTCGTTGTTTTGGTTTGGATTTTTTTTTTTTTTTTTTTTTCCCAAGATTGACATTCAGCCGAAAGCACTTTTTGCCAGTCGAAGTGCAGGGAAGTCGCAAGGCCTCTTCAGAAAAACGAGTGGCTCTGTAACTGCTGCAGGGAAAGATTTACAAATCATTTGTAATTTCCCGTTTGAGGCCAAAAGCTCGCAGCCCTCGGCGGGACAAGGTTATACCTTCGCCTTCACGGCGACACGGGCGCGCAGTGGCTGCGTTCAGAGCGCTTATAGGGGGCAAATTCTGCCCTTGGCTTACACCTGCGGATTGGGTGACGGGCATGTGACTCCAGCGCAGCCAGGGGACGCATCTGCCACTGCAACCAGCTGCGATAGCTGCCGCGGGGATGCTGCGCGCTGCGCTGAGACTGAAAATCGCATGAAAATGGTCCAGTTCCGAGAGGATCCAGAGCCTTTTAAAATCCCCCTTGTGATCACGGCTGTCCATCCCCTCGCCCCCCAAGGTATTAATGCTCATCTTAGAGGAAACGACTTCACGGATGTTTTTCTCTCCGAGATGTTTTGCGCGCTATGTAAATGAAAAGTGGTTTGGAGGTTTGCATCAGAGCTCCTGGAAAATGCATGCGCTCTGTCATAGGAGCGTGGTTGCTGTGTCTTAATCTTACTTTGTACGAGAAGAAAAAAAAGAAAAAAAAGAAAAAAAAAGAAAAAAATAGAAAAAAAAAGAAAAGAAAAAAGAAAAAGAAAAGAAAAAATGTATCATGGAAGAAGCTTTACTTTTTTTTTCTTTTTTTTTTCTTCTTTTTTTTTTTTTTTTTTTTCAGAGGCATAAATGGAATCATTCAGCTCTTGAACCAAGTTCCCAAAATAAAATGTTGTAGAGAATAGCCAAAACCAATTGGTTTCTTCAAGTAAACGCTTCCTTATTCTTGATTAGTTTAGCTAGCACATCCCAAACCTAGTTTTATAAAAATAAAATAAAATAAAATAAAATAAAATAAAATAAAATAAAATAAAATAAAATAAAATAAAATAAAATAGAAGCTCTCTAGAATTGGTAAGGAATGAAGCACAATAGTAAGGAATAAATGCACCACTGTCATGGCGAGGGGATAGGCTCAAGCCTATTTTATCCCTGGTGTTCATTACAGGGTCCATGATTTTCGGAGAACATCTGTTCTGCCCGATGCCTTCAGCCCTCACGGTTCTTTTCTGATATTTAATGGCAGATCCCCATTAAGGCAGGAAGGAATTACAGCCCCATGGCTGGGGAATTAAACCCGTTGTTGGGGAGGGAGTTGGAGGGATGAAATAGTCCCCCTCACGATGTCAATAATTTATTAAAAGTGAGTCTTGGACAAATTCGGAAGCGAAACAAACGCATCAGGTCCCATGTCCGACAATAGCTTCTTGGTGCTGCACACGTACCCGTAATTTTGAATATTTTGAGGGAACGGAACCATTGCAGGGCTCCTACCCGCGTCACAACAACAGGGGAAGGGTACGGCTGCATCCCCCCTCTTATCAGCACTGAAAAGAGCGGCCCTCTTTACTAGCGATAAATAGAGCCCTGGCGTTGGGAGAGATATGTGGAAGAGAGAAAAGAGATCTCTTTAATCTGATCTCCCTTCTCCCTTTTGCACACAGAGCTGGAACGGGTCCAAGTGGGTAAACAAAACAAAAAAACAACCACCAAAACTCAGCAGACCGGATGCCTCCCCCACCCCACCCCCCCAACCACCTTCCCCCCACTCCCTCTCCACCGCTTGTACAGTTCGCACCGGGACTCAGAGCTGCAGTTTCACACGGCTTCTCCTTCCCGATGGAAGAGGCTGGAAGAGCCGGGGCAGATAAGCGAGCAGCGGAGCTGAGAGAGAGGAGAGCAGGGCGATAGGGGCGGGCTGGGGGGAGGCGAGCTGGGGAGATCGCTTTCTCATGGCTCCCCGCTTCGAACAAATCAGACACATCTTCGGGCTGTGAATGACACTTCTCACATTGGCTAGGCTGCAACTTTCAACTTGACCTTGGCCTCTCGCCGTGTCTAACCCGTATGGAAAGCAGCGCTGCCCCACGGAGCTGCCGCCCCTTCGCCTTTCCCTTCTCCCCCCCTCCCCCCCCCGCCCCCCTTCCCCCCCCGTCCCGCCGCAGGGCGATGCGGGGAAGCGGCTCGGGAAGCGGAGGAAAACAAACCGGCCCGGTTCGTGCCAGCCGAGCGCCGTTTGCCCGGGGGAATCCACAGGTTTCAGAGCTGGAGCCTGGAAGAAAAGGAAAAATATGCGGGGAATAAATATTTGCTTTTGGCCACGAGGAAGAATGCGGAAAGGAGTACGCTAAGTCAAAATGGGAACCGTTTATTGGCTACAATGAAGGAAGAAAGGGGCTAAAGCGTTGACAAATTAGCGGGGGGAATGACGGCGACTTCAGGTATCCGGCCCATCTCACGTAAAAATCACCTCGAAAGATAGATGGGCTCCGAAGGGCCATTTCCAGGGCCGGCAGCGATGGGCGAAGCGCAGCCCTCGCGGCCACGATGGACGTCCCCGGGACCGCTCTGCGCTGGTCGCGATGCGGGAAAAACAATGCTCCAACGTCAATGGGAAGCACAATAGCATCATAAATACGCCGAGCTGTCAGGGGCTTAACAAAGCGACATGCAACAGCAAAAAAAAAAAAAAAAAAAAAAAAAAAGTTTTCAGGATGGGAGGATCTGGGGGTGCTCGTCCGGCACACAGGAGGGCCGGGAGCTGGTGGTGGTGATGGGATGATAGCCGCTTTGGGTCAAGTTTATGGATAGAGCAGTGGTTCAAGGTTGTGAAAGGATATCTGCAGGTCAGGGAAACGCATCCGCATTGGTGGGAGGTGCGGATGGTATTAAAAGTGGAAATTATTTCGCACAAAAAAAAAATAAAAAATCCGACGTTTACCGCGAAAGAACGTAATTTCTTTTTCTAGAGATCGCTCGCATTAGAGATATGACCTTAAATATATATATATATATAACAGCCAATAAAGCATTTTTCCCAGCATAAAAAGGCGCCGTGGCTCCGTGTGCACACTGTGCAAACCGACGTGAGATTTTACGGCCAAAGACGATTCAAGCGGAATTGTAGGCCCCGGCTTTTATTATCACAGTAACAAATAATACAGCAGAGTTACGACGGAGATCCAGTTAACCCTCCCGCTCCCCTAGCCCATCCTAAAACAAATCAATACACGAAGCAAATCTGGATTTCCCAGTCAGTTCCTCTTATCTGGCTTCGGAAGCTTCGTGGCGAGAGGAGCGGAGCGGCTCTCGGGCGGTCGACGGGCAGGAAGGAAGAGGGAAAACACCCGAAAGGCCCCCGGAGGCTCTGCTGGAGCCTTATCTGAGACCCCGGCAGCGCTGTTCCGCCCGGTCCTCGCGGCGGGGTCCCCGCGGCACCTGGGCGGGGGGGGGGGCCGGGCCCTCCCCGAGGAGCGGCGGCCGCGCAGAGCGGAGCTCGGGAAACCGGAGCGGGTGAGGGGAGCTCTTCCCCTCCTTGCAAAGGCCGGAGGGGGCCTCTCGGGTTTCCGCGGCTCCCGGGGCAGGGAGGATCGAGGGAATAGGAGCGGGGGCGAAGCGGCCGCGGTCCGGGGGGAGCCCCGCACCTCGGGCAGCGCTCCGCGGCGACAACAGGGCCGAGCGGCTCACGCCTCGGTGGCGAGGGGAGGAGGGAGGGAGGAAGGAGGGAGAGAGGGAGGGAGGAGACGAGGCCCCCTCGCCCCCCCCCCCCCCCCCCCCGGCCGCGCCCGTGCCCCGCGCGGCGGCCGCCGGGCCGCGCCATGCCCGCGCCCGTGCCCGCGCCCCCGGGCCGGGACCCGGCCCCGCGCGGTTATTGCATTATTTAATTATCTCCACTTTATTCCTTCAGATGTTTATCAGCTGCTTTGCATATCACGTGGGGGCGGGCGGCCCAATGAGGGCCCGCCTGGCGCGACACTGGCGCGTCAGCCTTGGTCAAGTCCCGGAGATTTAGTATCTCTTTTTTCAGTCTTTGGGGCTTTTAAAAAAGAGCCACTAGTCTCAATGCGGAGCGGGCTATGACAGCCTCCGTGCTCCTCCACCCCCGCTGGATCGAGCCCGTCATGTTCCTCTACGACAACAGCCTGGATGAGATCAATAAGAACATGGACGGGTTTCACGCCGGCAGCAACTTCGCGGCGGCTGCGGCGGCCAACCCGTGCCGCAACCTGATGGCTCACCCTGCGCCCCTGGCCGCCCCCAGCGCCGCCGCCTACACGTCGAGCGAGGCCCCCGCCGCCGGCATGGCCGAGCCCGCTGTCAAGCAATGCAGCCCCTGCTCCGCCGCCGTGCAGAGCTCATCCGGCGCCGCGCTGCCCTACGGCTACTTCGGCAGCGGCTACTACCCGTGCCGCATGACCCACCACAACGCCATCAAGTCCTGCGCCCAGCCCGCCTCCACCTTCGCCGACAAGTACATGGACACGTCGGTCTCCGGCGAGGAGTTCACGTCGCGGGCCAAGGAGTTCGCCTTCTACCAGGGCTACGCGGCCGGGCCCTACCAGCCGGTGCCCGGCTACCTGGACATGCCCGTGGTGCCCACCATCGGCGGCCCCGGCGAGCCGCGCCACGACTCCCTGCTCCCCATGGACAGCTACCAGCCGTGGGCCATCACCAACGGGTGGAACGGGCAAGTGTACTGCCCCAAGGAGCAGAGCCAGCCGCCTCACCTCTGGAAGTCCACCCTCCCTGGTAATCCACCTGCGCTCCTCTCCGGCCCCCACCCGCTCGCCCCCTCCCCGCTCCCGCGTCCGGGTCCCCCCCGGACTCCCCCCCCCGGCTGCCCCGTCCCCGCCCCGCCCGCGCTCCCCGGCCCCAGCCCGCCCCGGCGCCGCGGGGATGGCACCGGTGCCGCCCCCTCCCCCGCGCCCGACGCATCGCGCCTCGCCCGCCCGGGGCTGAGGGAGAGGAAACAGCTGAGAGGGACTGCCGGGGCCGGAGCCCGCGGGGAAGCGCGCCGGAGCAGAATTTTCCATAAGCATTGAGGCCGGGACTGCCCCTCGCAGGTCTGAGCCCGGGCGCTGCCGGGACCGGGCCCCCCCGTGCCCCTGAGCCGAGCCCCGAGCGCGGAGCGGGGCCGTCCTGGGACCGGGGAGGGGGGAGGGAGGCGGCCGGAGAAACCGGCACCGAGCTCAGGGCCGCCGGAGGATGTCCCGAGCGGTCGTTGCGATTTTCTAACGCTTGTCGCTTGGTTTTTGTGTTGCAGACGTCGTTTCGCATCCCTCGGATGCGAACTCGTACAGACGTGGGAGGAAGAAGCGAGTGCCCTACACAAAGGTGCAGTTAAAAGAACTCGAAAGGGAATATGCTACAAATAAATTCATAACCAAAGACAAACGGCGGAGGATATCGGCGACCACGAATCTGTCAGAGCGACAGGTCACAATCTGGTTCCAGAACAGAAGGGTCAAAGAGAAAAAAGTCATCAACAAATTGAAGACGACCAGTTAATGGATTAACCGTGGAGAAGCGGCAGCTCGGAAGGATCCGAACTTTTTTCCTTTCTTTTTCTTTTTCTTTTTTTTTTTTTTTTCCTTTTTTTTTTTTTTTTTTTTTTTTTTTGTTCAGATTTAAATAATTATTAATAATAATTAAAAAGAAAAAAAAAAGAAAAGAAAAGACAATGAACTTCTTCTCTCAGAACAAGCGATCTGTATCCTTGGAATTATAGAATTTTTTGAAAAAAAAAAAAAAAGATTGCTGTAGCAAATGGTTAAAGCTGACAGTTCTCCTGCAAACCCAAGCAGACAGTGTAACTGCCAAACTGAAGCCCACATCCCCCGCCGAGAGAAGCGCTTGCAGTTCAGACACACCATTTTCCGAGCAACTTGTAAGTACTTCGGTGACCTTCCTGTTTGAGAACGCTCGTCGTGGCCACGATGGGAGCTGGTGAACGTCAGGAGCTCGATGCGTACACATAAGCTTGTTTTCTTCCATTGCAATCCAAACTGTATGTTGAATGACTGCTCAGGTAAACCATAGTGAAAAAAAAAAATACAATTACTGTATGTTTTAAAGCAATGCATTTAGTGTTAAAGAAAAAGAAAGAAAGAAAAAAAAAAGTAATAATAAACCTCGAAGGTACTGAATAAGGATTTCAGAGACATCAGTAATGAAGGAAGCTCTGTGGAGGATCTATCCTGATAGCAAATTAGAACCATCGCAAACAGTGGGGATAGAAAGGGAATTATTTGCTTGGAGATATCTGTTGGTTTTATTATTTTTATTTCCGAAAGATGATTTCTTGTCATCTGTTCTGTTGTTTTGTTTCCCCCCTCAGACCGTACAATAGATACGTTGTAAAGGACTCTGCCTATTTTAAACCTCAAATGATCTTCTAGAATAAATACTTTAAGTCCCCGGAAATTTGTAGTTGTTTGACTCTGGGTGGATACCAAAACACCACCATTGGCATTCCTGCATAGCTAAAAAATAATCCCTCTGTGGAAAAAATACCCAAGAACTTCGAACTGAAATACATTTCTTTTCCCCCCAGAAGTATTTTGATTTATATAATCTATATTTTGATCTATAAGTAATTAGTTGTTTCTCCTTGTTTATTGTCTGTTATGAGGCCGCAGTAGGACATTTAGGGATTCTTTTTACAGCACCTTTTAATCCAATCAGTTATTTCAACCAGCACATTATTTTGTTTTTATTCACTATAAGAAGCTATCGTGTAAATAAAATGACAAAAAATCAGCGCACTGTGAAAATGTATTTGTGCACCCTCATTTTTTTTTTTTTTATTTTATATTTCTACTGAAAAAAATGAAAATCCAAGACATGTAGATAGGCATAGTAGTATTAATACTGTTATAATAAAATAGTCACTGTAATAAAACCTGGAAGAAACACTCCTTATTTTTCGATACCTACATGCATTCCATAAGAAAGTAAAAAAAATATAATGTATGACCTGTCATGGGACTGTAAGATTGTTGCCTTCCATTGTGTAGCTTATGTACAGATACACGTGTGCGTAGAGATGTATCAGTGCCTATTTTACTTTGTTTTATTGATGGAGGATGTTTCTGTGGGAGCAGGCCCGCCCGGTAGCCAGCGTTCCTAGAGATGTGCTGTGATGTTCGGGAAAGCTTTGCAGAGGGTTTGGGGCCAGAGGAGAAAGAGGAGGATGGCACCGGCCTCACAAGGCGGCTCGCTCAGGGAAATGGAAGCCGGCGGGCAGCCCTGGGGCCGCGGGGGCGATGGTGGAGGGGAAGGTGGGGGCACTGCGGCGAGGCCGGGCCGGGGAAGGCCCAAACCTTGACCTTGAGGGGAAAAACGCCGGTTTGTGACCTTGACTTTTGACAGCTCCCATTGCCGCCGCCGCGGCAGCCGCCGCCATTCGCGGGACGATGGCGCCACCTCGTGGCCGCGCCGCGCCCGCACCTGGCCGCGCCCGCGCAGCATCCCCGGAGCGGGCTGCGACCGCGCGGCACCGCGCTCAGCTTCGGCCTTCTGCGTCTCCGTGCTCGCGTATCTCTTCTTGTCTACGGTGTGTGAGGGAGGGAGAAAGAAGGCCTAGTGGTTGTGCTCGGCTCTCCCTTCTCCGGAGGTGGCGAGGGAGCGGCAGGCCCGGCCCGGCGTTGAAAATCTGTGTCCGTGCGGTGCGCGGGGCCGCAGCGCCGCGGGTTCGGTCGGGTACAAAGGCAGAACCGCTTTCGCCTGCCGTCTCCTTCGGTGGTCTGCAGCTCTAATTAGAGTTATCGAGGAACCTTTACGGTACGTTTAGAGGGTATCGGATGCCGCTGGCAGTGCAGACTTCTAGACTTACATTTCTGAAATTCAAAGGGCCATACCTCTGCCGAGGGCTTGCTGGCGCTCAGACTGGAGTGTTATGCATCTGTGCCATAACTTACATGGAAAGTACCTGCAAGAAAGCTCTCTGTTTTCCAGGAAGCCGCCGTGCTCGAGGCGTGCTGGAATCGCAGGGCCCGGGGTGCGCAGGGACAGTTCAGAAGGTGTCAGGCCTCTGGCACTTCACAACACTGACATGAGAACATCGATGCACCCATGCAGATGTTAGGAATTCTCTGAGTGGGGTTTCCCCGATTTCAATGCAGGCAGGGGAAAACTGGCCATGTGGACTGTGGTCTCACCGGCGGGCTCTGTTCTGGGGTGACAGCGTTATTCCAGGAAGGGACTTGAGGCAGTCCCCATGGCAAGGCTGAGAGGAAGCAGAGTCCATAGAGTCGCGGGGCATCTGTCAGGGCCAAGCAGAACCCGGCTGGGATGCCAGCAGCATCCACGAGCCCACTCAATTGCAGCTGCCTGCCCGGCCCCCGGCTGATTTTTAGTCGGAGAGCTCCACAAAATACCGTGCTGGGGCTCTTTGGACCTTGGGAATGGGCTCTTCTCGGTTGCACCATTAAAACAGTTCTGGTGATAGCTGCTTGCACGGAGTGTACCTGCGGCCAGCAGGCAGATACTTGAGATAGGCAGCAGGCAGGAAAGCTCATTGCAAAGCTTTCTCCAAAAGGAACCAAATGGCCTGGAGAAAGGCACTTGTGAACTGCACTTGTTCTTGAACCGAGAGGATAATTGTATTTATTCCGTTATATTTCGCAACCTGTGTAATTATGGCATGAGACACGCCGCAAATTGCATGTATTTCAGGAGCTGAGGGTGATAGGCACGACTCGAGCCCGCGGTGATTGTGAATCTGTGGCAAGAGCTTTTCTTTTCACACCGTGCCCCAGAGCGATAGAATTCAGAAGACCTTGAAATAAAAGCTCAAAGAGAATATGGCCGACTTTAATACAATAACAGCTTTAAGAAAGAAAGAAAGAAAGAAAGAAAGAAAGAAAGAAAGAAAGAAAGAAAGAAAGAAAGAAAGAAAGAAAGAAAGAAAGAAAGAAAGAAAGAAAGAAAGAAAGAAAGAAAAAGAAAAGAAAAGAAAAGAAAAGAAAAGAAAAGAAAAGAAAAGAAAAGAAAAGAAAAGAAAAGAAAAGAAAAGAAAAGAAAAGAAAAGAAAAGAAAAGAAAAGAAAAGAAAAGAAAAGAAAAGAAAAGAAAAGAAAAGAAAAGAAAAGAAAAGAAAAGAAAAGAAAGAAAAAGAGATTTTTAAAAAAAGAGGGGAAAAAGGAAAAAAAAGGAAAAAAAAAAAAAACAAAAAAGTGGCGTTGAATCGGAGCTACCGCTCAGAGATTACGTTTTCACACTGCAGTGCTTACCGTTCAAATCTGCTAAGCATTTTTAGACCGTGGATTAGCGAACTCGAATTCCCACTACCGTTCAAATAGCTGCGCCGCAGATATATTTCACAGGGTAAAAAGGGGAGAGCTTGACTTGTGACCGCTGGCAGGAGTAAGGTGACATTTTGGACCGGACCCCCGCTCCCGTGTGAGGCAGCCCGAGCTCTGCAGGAGGAGCAGAGTGGTCGCGTTTCCCCGCTCACCGCGCTGCCCGCCCGCAGGATTCGGACTCGCGGGCGGCAGAGCGGAGCATCCCAGGGCCCGGTGCGTCCCCGCGGGGCTGCGGAGACCCCGCTGCCTCCTCTCGGGCTGCGGGACACGGCCCGGAGCGCGGCGGCTCGCTCAGGTGAGTGATGGCCGGGACTGCGGGGCAGCGGGCTGTGCGCCGAGCCGCGGGGATCGCTCGTGTGCTGATCTCGTGGGAAAGCGTGTAAAACACCGCTGCGCCTTCCCACCTCTGCCCGCAACCCGCACCCATCGCCACGTCCACCGCCGCGTGTTCGGGGCCTCGGGTGGAGGTGGGTGTGTGTGGGTGTGTGTGTGTTCGCGTTATTTATTGCCTTCATTTATCGTCCAAAAGCTGTTGGCACATGCATTTTCAAGTACAAATTGCTGTTGTAGTACGTATTCCCCTCTCACTAATTCGCCGCCAGCGTGCTAAAATGCATCCTTGATATGCTAAATAAGAAAATATTCACCATCGAAAATAACGAAAATAATGAAGCCCCGCGACGCATTGCTTCACGACGTCCGTCCATATACGCGGCTCGGAAGGAATTAGTATTTATATTCCTCGCGTAGCCGGCAATGTTTTAAGACGGTGGTGGAAAGCTCATTGTCCTGCCTTGTTGTGCGGAGACAGGCGAGCGAGAGTTTTAGTTGAAGGCATGGAAAAGTATACATATATACCGGAAGAGGGATTTGGAAACAAAACAAACACAGAACTAGAAATCCAACCGCGCACAAACCCAATATTTTTCTCGGCTCCCCCAGAAGTACAGCCGTTGCCCGTAGAACTCGATGTGTGGAGGGACGTTGAAGGACAGAGAAGCGCGTTACTACTGTGCACTGAGAGCCTTCATCGAAACAAGCATGTCAGAGCGATATTTCATTCCCTGTGTAAAACGCGAAATACAATTCAAGATATATTTTTATTACTTCGCTTTCACTTCAAATAATTCTTGCGAGTTTCGGCGGTTGATAACCGAATTCCGAGTCTCGGGCCTTTTTTTGTGTATTATCACCCAGCTACTGGCGTCCGTAATCCCCATAACCGGGAATTCCCATGGACAGAAGTGGCCCTTCGGCTGCGATGCGGGCAGAGGGCATAGCATATGTTTTGTCTTTTTTTTTTTTTTTTTTCTTTTGTCCCACCGAGAAAAGAATCCGTATTTAATCTTTCCAATCTATCCGCTCCTCGAGCTCTTGGCAGAAGCGAAGGTGGTTTGCTGTGGGAAATAAAGTCTGACAGGAGCATATTTCCGAAAAAAAAAAAAAAAAAAAAAAAAAAAAGGAAGAAGAAGGAAAGGAAGAGAGGGAGAACTGCAAAGATGTCTCTTTTTCCGCCTTCTTTATCTCAGAGACTTCCGCTTAAGGACGAGGAGCCCTTCTGAAGCGAAGGGGGAGAATATGGTGCTCAACACTGAGGTAATCAGAATAAAATCACCTCGTGTTTGCAGAGCAGGGGCTTTATTTTGTATACGAACGAGCGGGTAAGCATCTCGGCCTTCAGCCTATGAACTAAAGTTCAGGGGGGGAAAAAACGACTAACCTTAAATGAAACCCCACTCCTCGTGCATTTCAGCATTATCCGTGGGCAGTGTGAGCAATAAAAGCAAGACAGCTTTTCATACGGAAAAAAAATTAAAACGCTTTGGCAGGCGCTAAAAGGCCGGTTGTTGCCATTCGTAACTTTTTTTTTTAATGCTTTTTAATGCACTTTAATGATGATTTGAAGAGATGGCTTCGTGCGTCTCCAGCCGGTGCGAGAGTAGAGAGAGAAGAGGGGGTCATAGGGGTGTCCCGCGTGTAGCGGAGGGGCCGTGGGGCCGTGGGTGCCGCCCGCGGGACTTTAACCTCATCGCGGGCCCTTCCCTGCCCCCGCCTCATGACCGGGCAGCCTCCCCCGTGAATGCAGTTGATTCATGAACTAGGGGACGAAATGCAAATGTTCATTAAGTCTTTCCTCCCTCCCTTCTCCCTCCCTCCTTCCCTCCGGCCTCCTCCCCCCCTCTCCCCCCCCCCCCCCCCCCCCAACCCTAGGAAAAAAAAAAAAAGAAAAAACGAAATTTTTTTTTTTTTTTTTCTCTCCAGTGAATGGCTTCAACATGGCGTGCTGAAAGGCAGGAGGCTTTGCCCGCTCCTAGATCTGAATTGTGATTAAACATCCCCAAAGAGAGCATCTCCCTTCCTCCCTCGCTCCCCCGCCCTCTCCTCCCCGTGGCAGGGAGAAAAGCGCCCTCTGCTACGTAGGAAAGGTCAAGTCCTACAGCGCGCAACCCACGGTCATTACTGTACTGTGACCCGGGGTGTACTGGGGAGGAACGGACGGGTGTCCCGTGATCAAAAACACTTGGATTATTTTATTTTTTTCCCCTCTCTTTCTCTTGCGGTGGGATTCGATGGAATTAGACAGCATTTTAGCCTCCTGCCATCATCTTGTGTGTGTGC